TATGGATTTCTCATCTTCTTTGTGACTTCACTTGTTGGATTGATGCGCTGACCACTACGCCAAAACTAACTGGTTGTGAGTAAGGCGTAACATCTATCTTTTCAATTATATATAATAGTGCACACGGGTCGGGCTGGTTAAACCCTCCCACCGAGTCTCAAAGAGACTTGCAGCACCTTTACCCAAGCCAACAATCTTTCCCCCCAGCAATTATCTCGAGACTCAAACCAGTGTCCTCACTCTGATACCAATTGTTGGATCGATGTGCTAACCACTACGCCAAAACCAGCTACTTATGAGTAAGGCGCAATATCTATCTTTTCAACCATACACAACAACGCACATTGGTCGGGTTGGTTAAGCCCTCCCCTGAGTCTCGAGGTAACTTGCTAAACCTCTATCCATGCCAACATCACTTGCCCATTTTCACGCCAATCACGCTCTATTGTAACAACCTTAGTACTACATACAAGGCCTCCAACCTCGTGTTTCATGCTCACACAAAACACAATGAGCTTGATTATCATTTGATTTGTGATCGTGTCATTTTTGGTACTCATAAAGTTTAATTTGTGCCCTCTCTTAATCAGCTTGCTGATATATTTACTAAAAAGCTTCACAACCATCAGTTTCAACTCTTGTACTCCAAACTTGTCTATCAGTGGCCGCCAAGCTTGTGGAGAGTGTTAAATCGCCCATTTAGTGTGAACACAATATTTTATACATCATCTTTAAGCTATAATTAAGTAGACAATTGTAGCTTTCCTTCCATATATTTTTATAAAGTGTATATATACCTTTTGTGAGAAGAATAAAGAATAAAGAAAATTCTCAAACCTTTACTGATCAATTGGGATTAGAAATAATTTATTAAGGAAAAATTTCAACCATATCCCTCCTAGTTTACTATATCTTCAAAGATATCCTCTCTATTATCAAAAATATCACTGACATTCCTTCTAGTTTATATTTAAACATCATTAACACCCCCTATCATTAAACTATCATTTCTAAAAAAAAAATTCATCTAAAATACCAAAAATGCCCCTACATAAATCTCAACTAATTTTTTTACATAAAATTTGAGCTGATTAAAATTTATTTTTCTACATATTAAAATTTGAACCAATTAAAATTTGATTGAAGCTGATTAAATTTTATTTTTTCAAACATATTAAAATTTGAGTCTATTAAAATTTATTTTTTAGATATTAAAATTTGAGCCGATTTGAACTCTACCCGAGTTGTTCGAGCCAATTAAAATTTACTTTCGAGTCGATTAAAATTTATATTTTTTTATGCATTAAAATATGGCCTAATTAAAATTCAATGCAAATTGCTAAAATTTGATTTGAGTCGATCAAAAATATTTTTAATTGGCTCAAATAGAATTTTAATTAGCCCAAATTTTAATAAATAAAAAATATAATTTTAATTAGCTCAAATTTTAATATGTAATTAATCGAATTTTAATTTGCTCAAAGTTTAATACGTTAAAAAAATTAGAAAATAAAGGGATTCTCATTGAAGATAGGTTTATTTAGAAGGGGTGTAGATAGAGTTTGTCTTCAAATATATCATAGACATTTTAGTAAAATTGCATTCTAGTTAATATTTTTAATCTGATAGGGAGTTCATTGGAGATTTTAACAATAGAGGAGGTGTCCTTGAAAATATGATAAACTAGAGGGAGTGTGATTGAAATTTTCCCATTTATTAATATACTTTTGCATCAAATTAAATATTTCATTGGACGAATGACAATATTATCGAACACTACAATAATTATAAAAAAAAAAAAATTGCAACTGATTTAATGCTACATCACAGAAGTCACATATTTCTTCTATTCACTATTCCCAAACTGGAATAAGATCAAAATATATCATATTCCTCTCTAAACTTATCCAAAAATCCAATTACGTTGGTTTGGATTCGTCTAACATAAAAAAAAACACTCCTAATTAGAGTGAAACTGAAAAAAGAAGGCCCAATGGTTTAAGAATTAGGCTCCTCTACCAAAAGTTGTATGGGGACTACAAACACCTTTCCCTAAGTTCTCAGTTTCCCATTCAAACTGAACTTACAAAGTATAACAAAGTACAAAGTTTTCTTAGGTTTTCACCTTATACAATACTATTAATTGTTATGATTGTTTTTTTTATGAATATTTTAAATTTAAATTTAGTACAATGGTATATATCACATGGACACAATGATACACAATAATATTACAATGCTACAAGTCAATGTCACACTTTTATAAGCTAATATCACACTGATATAAGTCAATGTCACACTAGAAGGGGTGTCAGTGATGTTTTTGATAATAGAATGAATGTCTTTAAAGATATAGTAAATTAGAAGGAGTGTGGTTGAAATTTTTCCAAAAAGTCATTACACCTCTTGAACGCTGCCTTCATGATCCGCAAGCCTTAAAGAAGATGAATCCTCGTAGAACCCTCCTTTTTCATGTATAGATTCATGGTGGTTTCTACAATCAACAACCCTCCTTTGCGGTCCACCTCATCATCAAGAATGTTCAAAACCTTGTGCTTCAAGTCGTTAGAGAGTTTTGCGATCTCAATGAGTTCTCTTGATCGGAAACTAAAGGATTTGGACTCCATTGATACTTTGATCGAGAGTTGGTTTTTCAACAAGAGAAAATCGTTTGGATCCATTGGAATTAGGACGTTTTGAAAAGAATGGAGATTTTAGATAAGGTTTCTTATCAATCTTGGAATAATTGAGGTTTCGACGATATTGAAGGAATTTTATGAGTAACAGTTGGTATCCCTGATATTTCGGTTATTGAGGCAAAAATATAAGAATCGGTTCCTATTTTACTGAAAGGGGTATTTTAGAGATTTGTTAGGAGTTGTATATTTTTTAACCTATATTTTTAAAAATGATACTTTTTGTCCTATAATTTCTAAAAAGTGCGCTGCCCCTTAAAACCCTTTCGTATATACTCATTATATTTTAAATAGTTGACCAAGGCATTCATGTATTATGCAGTTGTTTTGAGAATCCATAGGGGTTGTCTGTATAAACAATAGTGCAAATTATAAACTCCCTCTCCGATTACCACATTACCTTCTTATACGTCCTAATTCTGCACATAATCCCCTATTATTTTGGACTAAACTGAAACCACTAGAAAGTCCATTAAAAGTAACGATCAAAGGTCAAAAACTCCATATCATGGTCCGTTAAATAGTAGAGAGACATGCCACATAATTCAAGTTTGGGTTAATTATACGGGAAGTTCTCAAAGTATGAAATTTATCTCATTTTGGTTCTTAATATTTTAATTATATTATTTTGGTCCATGAATTATTGAATATGTTTCTATATAGTCCCTCAAGTAAACAATATCCAGATTCCTAACGATTTTTATCATAAATTTGTCATGTGCTGCTTAAATATGGACAAAAAAATAATTTGGATAAGTGTTAACCAAATTTTTTACTTAAATTTTGATTAAATAACTATCCAAATTGTACAATTTTGATCATGAGTTATCATAATTTTGGTCAAAAATTACTCATATTATACATTTTTTATTAAGAGCTACCCAAATTTTATTTAATAACTATCAAAATTATTTTTTGTCTATATTTAGATATTACATGACAAGTTTATGATAAAAAATTGTTAGTAATCTAGATGATATATGCTTGAGGGACCATATAAAAATATATTCAATATTTCATGGACTAAAATAAGACAATTAAAACATTGAGAATCAAAATGAGAAAAACTCCGACTCGAGTGCAATTAACCCATCAAGGCTTCTTGTTTCTCATCCAATTCGACAAATTCACCCTTAATTTCCTTTTTATAGCTCAAAATTCGTCGGTGACAGTCAATGTGTAACCCTCGCACACTCGATGGGTTGGTACGGAAATAATTTCTAAAACGACAAAAATACCCCTCATCCTCTCTCTTTCTCTCTCTCAACGGTTTTTTAACGTCCGTAGGCCTTCATTGGAAAGCCCACCCACCACCACCACTGGTGATCTCATTTATGGGCAGCGACTCCATTTCAACCAAAACCCAGTTCGATCGGAAGCTACCTCATTTCATGGAACATGATCATGATCCAAAAAGTTCTTGGTTTGGAAGAATGATTCAATTACTTTATGGGGAAGATTATAGATGATGTCCCATATAGCATTACAGAAGCTGGATTTTTTGAATTGTATCATAAATGAAATATGAATTGATGGTGCTGATTGGTGATGACCATGGAACCATTCGGTAGGTTGATTTGAGTAGGCGTTTGGATATGGAGGTGTTGTCGTGGTAAGTTGGCTTTAGGGCTGAAGTGGTGCACATGTGTGATAAATGGAATGGAAATTCAGTATTGTTTTTTTATTATTATTAAATTCAATTTTTTTCTTTTGTTGTTTGATTTGTGTTTTGAATTAAATTTTGTTGCCTTTTTTTTATTTCATTTTTAGTTTTAAATCTTTGAAATTGAGTTTTTGGATTTCTTAAAGATTGAATGTTTGTGGGTTGCCGGAGAAGAAGAAGAAGAAGAAGAAGAAGGGCCTACTGCTGAAAAATGAGAGGGAAGAGCAGTAAAGTCATTTTAACGATTCCGTTAACGGTGTTAGTGACGCGTTTTAATCCACAAACCATGGGAAGGTTACGCGATTATTTTTAACTGTGAGGGAAGTGATCTACAAAGTGACTTAACCATTCCGGAGGTAAACCTTTTTATCTTTTGCTCTTCATCTCTATTTAACACCCACTAAGCATGAACTCCCTTGAGGGTACAAATGTCAATGTCACGTAAATGTAAAGAAAGATGATATCAACAGCAAACAATTTTAGTAGAACTGTTACAAAAATTTCACTAAAGTCCATTTGCCTTCCTCTTAGTCTTCACTTTTGAAGAATGCAAACATCTCTGTAGAATCGATCACTTTTCTGTAATTACAAGTGAACATAATCCACAAGATAATCAACATTTATTCCTCATGTTCAGTTTCAACACTAAAAATTATCCAACGAATAAGTAAATAAAATTCTTATACACAGTAAATTTGAAATACTTTTCCGGACTACAGATCGATATAATAGTGACATCATAGCAAACTATTTGGAGTTCCATAAATGCCCAAGTTCATCAACATAAAGAACGAACATACACAATTACTAGGGATGGTTAAGAGCATAAATCTTTCTACCTGTTAATTTACTGCTGACCAAAACAAAAGGAGGCAGCACAGCACAGCTGTGCGGCAGTATATAGAGTGGCAATGACTAACATAACCACAAACACCTTAATCAATGAAACATGGAAATATATGCTAGTTACATATCTCTGTCCACAGTTCCCAAAAGATTAAAAAAAATAGATAAGTAAAAATTAGAGTGACAGGCTAGATGAACAGATATCGAGAAGTCGCATAGATACCATGAAGTTCCCAGTTTGATCATGATATACTTGCATTCTTCAAGGATCCACATACAACCACGCCTGCCGATGTTCGCATGTAATGCATGCCTAGTGTAGCAACAGAAGAAGCATCTGTCTTGAGATGAGGCTGCACTAATTCCCAGATCTTTTTCTTCTGAATCTGCAATAAGTAGATCAATTATAAACACTGCAGGGGACAGAAGAAAAAACATTAGAAATAGCAAATCCCAAGCAGAGAAAAGGAAATGACAAATCCCTGATAGTGCTTTTGCAATATTGGTACTGAGAAGAATCACATCTCAGCAGTGTTTGCAACTTAAACACATAAACATGCAGAAAGCCTGTTATATCTTCTCCGCATCATGCACCTTTCAAAGGGACAAATCATTAGATACTGAAAACCCAAGATGCAGTGAGTGATGGAGAAATGTTTGGCGACAGGAATTCACGGTAATAATTATGTCCCCTGAAACTACTCAGATGTGGCCTCTTCATAAGCAAAACTATCTCTATTACTCCTATTTCCATTCCCACTTTTTTAGCCTATTTGTCTCATTGATATTATTATTGCAGCTCATAACCTCAACAATCAAGCTCATTATATTTCCCATTAGCCTCATGGCTTTCCACCAGTGTATGTTTGCAAGTATATACACATTATTTGGTTATTCGTAGGGAGACATTGTTAAGTGCCTATCTTTTGAGGATTTTAATTTGTAGAAAATCATTATTCCCCAAGAATCATAGTTATTAAAATCATACGATTGACGTCAATTCTGGGGTCTATTGAATGGAATTCACATATTCAAACAAATACGTCTTGAATCGATGGGCAATTGCAACTAATTTTTAGAAATCGATGCAAATCATATGATTCACCGATTCCCTTCTAGATGACTGGATTGGCACCAAATCCAAGAAACGAAAAATATATAGGAAAAAGAAGTCTAAATGTTGACAGTGCGTGACTGATGCTGCAATAGTCACGGAAAATGAAGACGAGCAAGAAAGAGAGGGAAAGACAGAAGGAAAGAGTGATTTGGGACAAATAGCCTAAATATTTTTTCTTCATGTTGGAACCCTTGTTGATCTCCTCCTTGCAATGTGTTTTCTATTTTATTTTTTCCTCTAGTTTTGTTGTCTTCTCTCTCACCCTCCTTGCACAGGCACCATGTTCACAATCTGGTGTCAGCTATATTTCGTTTCATGGTTCCATGGAAATTATTTAGCCCACATCTTATATTTTATTTTTTTGGCCATATTTGATCCTCTTCAGTTACATACCATATACAACTTACAGCTCCAAACCTTTTATATAAAAACACCACTATAATTCCTTCAAATATGTATACAGATTTTGAGTTATTTGTTTTGCCTCTTTCATGGCACTTGCATAATTCTTCTGCGTGACCAGGATGAGTTTGTAAATTGTACAATTAGTTCACAAAAGCTTTCAATTAGCTTTTCGTTATGTAACCCTCTAGAGCTTCATATTTTTGCAAAAACCTTCATAATGGGAATTAAATAGCATAAGTAATTTGGAGGGTAATCAAATATAGAATGTTCTCCAAAACTTTACAAATGCTTCCCTGCAATCTTTTCAAATTCTCTGGTTCCTTCAATCCTTTCAAATTTCCCTTATTCTAAAAATAACACTAGTAGATAAGCATATTGACCCATATGAATTCTCCAAAAAAACGAAAAATTGAAACATTTAACAATGTGGCATTCTATCTCCGTCAGTAGTTGTACTTTGTTATTGTTTCTGGACAAGACACATCTCACTAGCAAGCTTGCAAAAATAAACATAGTGGGAACTACAAGTCAACTGTTTAGGCTTCCATGCAAACTCAAACTTAATGAACAAATACATCATTTTAAAGGCAATACTTTGACACAGACAGAGTAAGGTGGAAAAAATCAACCACAAATATCTCACAAGGTATTAGTATCACCTAGTTTTTGGACTCATGTGCTCGTAATCCAAGTAACATAACAAGAACACAAACACATTTTGTTATCCAATGAATATGTGACATGTATGACAACAAAAACAAAAATAACCTGACATTCAAATATATATGGCAGGTTCTATGTGCCACATACAGAACAAAGGAAAAACTTCATTCAGCGTGTCCTTGTTATGTAGATTGCAAGACAATGACAAATGAAAATGGCATTCCCCTTTCACCAAATAAAACATTTTTAGTAATCTGGACTACATGACAAAATGTCAAGATAAAGCAACTTCGGTTGAAAGAAATAGCTTCCACTTGATTAACAAATGCATGATGAGAACTTTGAGTTCTTTATAAGAGGAGTACCTGGTTGGGTGTGGCAGCATCAGGCAGGTTTTCTTTTTCATCTTCGGAGCCAAACCATACCCGTTCACCTGGGAGTGAGCCTTCAGGAGGCAGAAGCAGCTCAACATTCTCATGTGATGCATCAGAAGCAGCCATAAGCATTCCAAATGACTTGACACCCCGCATATTCCTTGGCTTCAGATTAGCAAGAACAATCACCTTCTTGTCCTACATATTGATGTGTATCAAACACTGTCACATGAATCATAACCTCAAATTTTAAACACAATGACCATTTACAACCAAAAAATTTACAGTATAAGCCATTACCATGTGTAAAAATCTAAGCATTTTCTCTTTGTTGAAGTAATACATATTGATATTACGCCTTCTTTAACAAATTAAGTGTTTAGAAGAATCAGTGATTGGATAGTCTCAGAGCTGAGCTACAGAAGGTTTTTGGACAAGACTCTATTTCCAAGTCTTGAATCCCCTTTGTTTGTGTCAAAATGCACCTAATTGTATTCTCATCCTCTTTTAGGTCCTCTGTCTACCTCTCCACGTGCAAGTGAAGGTCACACGAGAGCATTAGAGCTTTTCATATTGATATCATAACATCCTCTAAACTAGCATGCAGGTCTTATGGACTTCTCCACCCATTACCAATTGATTTGAGTTGGAATGTGACATGACAACAAAGCAAAAGCTCTTGTCTTCAAATCTCACCACCACCCTAATAATTCTAGGACTTACATGTTCTTGGTTCAAAATCTAGCTCACAAATGAGCGAAGTGTGGAAGTATACAAGTATTTAATTACAACTTCTCTAGTCTCTACAACTTAACCTCTACATTGTTTTATTATTTTTTTTGGGGGGGGTTGAACGCTTAACCTTAAGAAGGCGAAAAGGCAAGGAATACCATTGGACCAAAGGCCCATTGGTAACTTAACCTTTATAGTAGTTAATGATTAAACACTCCTAAATAAGTCAAATAAGCTTGCCTTTTCATCACAAAAAAGAATGTTCTTCTACTAGAAATAAAATTATTTCAAATCTAAATATGGAGAAAGGAGGACATATGTACAAATTCTAAAGTGCAATAAGCAAGAAAATAGGGCCACATGCACTAAAGCCGGACCAGGAGAATCGAAAATCAAGAGAAATAAAGAAGATCTATCAGAAATTTAGTCCCCCTTTCCTCCAGCCAAAAAGTCCATTCCTTCAAAGCATGCAAGTTCACTACTAGCTGATTCAGTAACATTCCTTCAAAGCATGCAAGTCCACTACTAGCTTATTCAGTAACAGCATTTACATTAGACATTATGCCTTTTATGAATTTCCCTTCCAAGGGCGGAGCCAGACAACTTTTTTAATGGGGGCAACCTTAAACATAAAAATACTCACACTCCATATGTCAATATTGTTTTCACAAAAGTAAATGGTTTCATTAAAAAAAATACCAACTAATGATACAACCCATATTTTTAAGAGATATACCAAAAGGGCCAACAAAAAAAAAAGGGCATTATATGAAAATTTTCCATTGGTATTTTCTCTTAAGAAATTTATTCCTAGATGATTCAGAAGTTAATTTATTTAGTCAAACACAGACTTAATATCCATTATTTAACCCCAATCAATCAAAAGATTTTAAAAATCAAATTTCTAAAATTTCTCAAAAAAATTTATCACAATATTCAACATATTCATTTCATTGATAGGAATATCTTTAAATACAAGAAATAAGCACTACCTTAATAACTAACATAACTCATAACTCTAATATCTTAGTAACCACCTAAAAAACTACACACAAAATATTCTATCACTCCATTTATTAAAATAACTTCCTAATAACTACCTCTAATACTACATAAAAATATATATTAAAAATGTGCACATAACAGAATCACCAATAAAATCCTTTGCAAAAAAGATCCTTAGAGGACCTCGAAGCCGAGAAGATCGATGAGTGCTCATGTGCCACATTCCATGCTCACCAGATTCCAATTTCAGTTATTTGTGTCTCACATTGCTAGGATACTATTGTCCAACAAGATTAGGCACCAAATGTATCAAAGCAAAGGCTTCAACAATCCCTCGTGACCATATCCATAAATACATCTCCGTACAAGCAAGGATCAAAATTTTGTTTCAATCAGCTAATAAAGACAAAGCGTTTAAAAACTGAGAATACGAAAAGAATCTGAGAATTTTTTTCGAAACATTTCAAAACTGATCAAAACAAACCGAAAGACATCATATCACCTTTCATGAAAACCGAAACGTTTCAAAATTTAGTTCCGAAACCAAAAAAAAAAAAAAAACCCCACCTGAAGATGGTCCAATTGGATATAATTGGCCAGGCCGCTGCAGATGATTCTGGGTTGGGGCTCACCAACATCCACCTCTTCAACATACAGCGAATCGGCATCTTCATGTCTCCGGGCTCTGAGAATTCGTCCAACCCTTATGTCCAGAGTGTTGGCCGCATCTCTTATCGTCTTCAAATCATCATCCAAATCCCTATCATTGTTCTTATCAACAACATCCGACGATGCTGTTGGGACAGCGGCCGAATCTGCTACATTCGAGGCCGTGCAGAACACTCTTGGGGCTGTTGCCGCCACATTCGTGGCCGTGGACAATCGGCCGAGATTCCAATTCCGATTTTCTTTTGGTTTAAGCAGAGAGTAGTATAAGGAAGGGCAGTATGTATAAAGAGGATGAGGAGGACCACAGCTGAACCTGCGGGAAGAGAGAAAGATTGAGCAGCCACCACCTTTCAGAACGTTGGCTGCCACCATTGTAGTGACCATTAGCTTTCCCTCGGTTGTCGCTTGTGCTGTTAGCAGCGATACCTTAAACTGGATTTAATTTATTTTTTATTTTTTATTTTTTATTTATAAGATAAGGTAGAATTAGCTAATTCCAAACAATCCCTCCAAGTGTGGAGTATTTGATAAGTGTGGAGTCTAATTATACACAATACGAGTCTTATGATTGATGATTTGTCAAAAATATATATATATTAGAGTAAATTTGGATCCATATGACTGAATTGCAGAATTGAACCATTCTAATAGCTTAGAAAATATTTTTAAAGCATATTTGATAAAAATTTAGAAAAGAGTAAATTTTTTTATATAATTCTTCTTTATTTAGTAAATAAGTAGTCTCTATAATTCAACGCAAAGGACGAGATATAATTTTACTTGAAAGAGGATAAATAATAATATAGTAAATAACTTTATTTCTAACCCAAAAAAATAACTTTATTCAACGGATTATTCAAAGTTATCGTTAATGACAAATATTTATTGTTGTTAAATACCACAATCAAAATTAGTTTGGATCATAGTTTTTCAAAACTTGATTCTTATTAATGTATGACAATGTTACCATCCATTTATTTTTCTTATTTATGATGTGATGTTGATGATTATGAATAAAGCTATCACAGCAAATAGTAATTTCATAAGACACCAGAGTAAGAATAAGTCGCACGCCAATAAATTGCTTTTGATATAGAGAAACATTTTACTATAAAAAATGAGACCAAATTAAATGACTAAAAGAGATTGAACTTTGACCTCGCTTTAAATTTTGATTTAGCATTTATTTAAATCGTAGTCCAAATGACTATTTAGCATTTGTTTAAATTTTAGTCCAAATATTTTCTTAGTCAATACTACCACAGTCACGCCCTATCATTTTGTTACTTAATTCGGCTCTATTTTTTATCAGTCTAGCATTGCTTTTTGAAAAAGTTAAGATTTGTCAAAATTCGAATTATCTTGTTTTTTTTCTTATGGCATCAAACTCATCCACAAAATAATACTCATTTTAAGTCATTGTTTGATTATCAAAAGTTGAATCATCAAGTTTTTTAGTACATCAAGTGAAATACTCTTTACCAATGGGTTTTTGATCCAATGATACTTATTTTCTTGTAAATGATATGTCTTCTTGAGATCAAATATTTGCCCTCCCTCTTCCTCCACTATATGCCTTTTCGAAACTAGGGAGGTTTATAGTAATATTTTGGAAATGTGACAGAGGCATTTTCTTGGGAGGGGGGGGGGGGGGGGGGGGGTGGGCTGCATACAGTTCCGCCATTGATCAATAAAGTTTACTAATAAGATGTATGTGTCATTTTACAATGATAAAGTAAGTGAATTGGATCTTCAAATGTTGTTGGTCCAATTGGATTTGAATTTAAATCGACTCTCATACTTTCTTTTCCCTTCTTGGCATATTCATATACCATTAATGAATAAGGGTCTTCTTATATACAATGGGTCTCATTTGATTTCACTCTAACCTAAAAGAAAAATAGAGAGAAAATATATTGGAGTCGATCTCACTCTTTTCTATTATTGGAGATAGATTTTTAGAAATTGACCCTCTATATAATCTATATTTATATCTATACTACTTTTAAATGTTCTTGAGATGAAAAACTTGTAATTACATAAAATGTCCCTAAAAATATATAAAAAGGCAACAATATCCTTTTTAGTGTGTTGTATGGTTCTTCTTAAACATGTTATTACTTATAAGTGTCAGCTAATTTGTAACGTCCCAAAATTAACTCTGGAATACATTAATATCTATAATCATTCATATCATAAAAGCAACAAGTAAAATTCATAACTAAAAGAAATTTCACTCATCATCCATAATAACTAAAGCATCATCCAAAATAAATATACCAAATCATGGCAATTACATTCAAAAATCAAATATTGTTTTGCAGCGGAAGGGCGTATACCGACGCATTGGTAGTGACAAATTCAACCCAAGAATAATATACTAGCCCTCAGCCTCGATACCTGTGAGCCAATATTGGTTTGGTCCTCGCTAGGCACTAATCCCACTACGAGTGGTAAAGAATCTTCAAACTCATTCAGAGTAAGAAATGCATCTACCCACTCTACAATACTTGGTCAACGGTCACCCATTTTCATCAAAATATCCACATAAGAGATACAATATCAAACCAATTTACCAAATCACAGGTAAGCCAAGAACCATAATTCCAGAAGTATTTTTTTCCAACATTACAAATCAAGAAAATATGCAAGAAATCATCAAGAAATATAATTTTATTGTTCAAATAAAACACTAGAATTTTTAAATCAAGAACAATAGAATATCAAGATAAAATCTATATTTCTTGAAAACTAGGATTTTGATATCAAGAACTAGGGTTTTGATATCAAGAACGAGAGTTTTTATGGCTATCAAATGATAACCTTATTCAAGACATGATACAATTTGCAAAAAAACCAAGAAATAATGATTTAATAACATATACATACGGTTTAGAATTAAAAAATACATATATATTAATCCTAACCTAGTTTGGGAAGAAACTCATACCTTTAATATGATGTTTGAAGATAACTCTAGCGTGTTTGAATCAATTCTAAAGCAAGAATCCTCCTTATTTCTCCTCTCTTTCTTCCTCTCAAGCTTTCTGGGGTTTTCTCGAATGAACATAGGCCCAAGGGACATTACCTAGCTATTTATAATGCCAAAAATGGAGAAAAATCTCAACACGGATCGTCCAACTTCTGCCTAGTGCGTCTGAACGCGTGTTTCTCTTGTCTGGACGCATCTGATAGCATATACCCGACTTCCAGCTCAATTTTGACCTATTTACAAGCCTATTCAAGAAAAATTCGTGAAATACACTTTTGTAGAAATTGAAGTCTAGTTTCTGTTCTCCAAAATCAGCTCAATTGGACATTAAAGTAAAAATTTATAACTAAAATACTAAGGTAGTGTCAAATTCCTTTCTACCCAAATCCTCTCCAAAATAGGTTTTAACTTTAGAATATTTCCTAACTCCAAATACACTTCATATTATGTTTTCTGAGGTTTTTCTACCTTCTCGATTCAATGTAAACCTTATTTTTACCTAAAAATATATACAAACTTACTTATCTACCCTTCTCAAACTTAAACACTTTTGAAACTAAGTTTGACTTGGAAGTCAATTCGCCCAAAACTCAAACTTCACGATCAATCTTTTAACAACAATTCGAGATATCTACCATCTTTTTATTTATCCCAGGACAAATATTAAGATGATATTGTTTTTATCTAATTCTAATACGAGGTCTTACATAATTAAAATTCAGATTTTTTATTTCCAATTATAACCTTATTTACTTGTATGATGTCAATCAAATACATTATGTATTTTCATCTTTCTTCTAATGTCCTTCTGTCTCCTCTTAGAGTTAAACTAATTGCATATATTACTGTTAATCCAAGTGATGCTATGTCAGAGTTGTAGTCTCCAACCTCTCTCTCTTTCTCTTTCTCTCTGCCTTCTATGGACTCATTAACTCCCACCTCTCTCACTCTCTCTGCCATGGAAATGGTGTCTGCAAAATCAAATAAAATTGAGTCTATGGACAGTTCAAGACAAACCTCTAGTGCTTCTTCATAGTCGAGTGTGAGTTTTATTTTCACTGTTTCAATGAGCTAATTTGTCTTCAGTTTAGTTTAGTTTTTTATCAATCTTCTATTTAGTTCATTAGGTATATTATAGATTAAATGAAAAAAAATTGATTATCTAAAATGTCCTTAAAAATATACAAAAAGACAACAATATCCATTTTAGTGTATCATATAGTCTTCCTAAATGTGTTGTTACTTATAAATGTCAGCTAATTAAAATACAAAATTTTTTATTTCTAATTATAACCTTATTTACTTGTACAATGTCAATCAAATACATTATGTCCTTTCGTCTTTCTTCTAATGTCAACTCATCTCCTCTTAGAATTAAACAATTGCATACATTACTGCTAACCCAAACAATGCTATATTAGAGTTGTAGTCTCCAACCACCTTTGTAATCACATCTTTCTCCCCTCCCCCCTCTCTTCCCCTCTCTCTCTGCCTTCTTTGGACTCATCAACTCCCACCTCTCTCACTCTCTCTCCTCATGGCAATGGTGTCTATAAAATCAAATAAAATTGAGTATATGGACGACTCAAGACGAACCTCTGGTGCATCTTCATAGGCGAGTGTGAGTCTTATTTTTGCTGTTTCAATGAGCTAATTTGTCTTTAGTTTAGTTTTTTTTCTATTAGTCTTCTGTTTAGTTCATTAGGTATATTATAGATAAGATACTTCTTATTCTAAATGAATTAGATTAAACCAAAAGTAAGAAAAGTATTTGCTCTTGGGTTGGCACATCTCGACCTTCATTTATTTACATGTGAATTATTTGAATATCATTTTTTTCTTGTTCTATAAATTTATTGTTTCAAGATAATGAATCGATATTAAAGAGCTTGAAATTGAATGTTTTTGAAGGTGGAATTAGGTGAAATAATGAAGACGATACAATGCGACAAAGCTAATTTTCAATGTGTTGTTGGTTGCTGCATGATAACATATGTGATCAGCTCAGCTCGATAATGTGCATAACTCAACTCACATGGACTACAGTGGAGAAACGTCACACTAAACAGATGTTATAGTGAGTTTTGTTAGAATATTCTAGCTTAGCAAGCTGGTTGTTATAGTTATTTGTAACAGATTGTTAGAGAGTTAGTTGTTGGTTAATTAAGCTTTTAGCTTTTATATGTATATAGACCAAAGACTGTAACCATTTCATTAAGCTAAATAAGACATTTGGAGAGTTCATCTTCTTCATCTATCTGTGTGTGTGTGTGTGGTATCAGAGCTTCAAAACAAAGACAAACGTCTTCAATGGCTTTCTCTTCAACTGTTTCAGCTTCCTCTACAATTTTATCCTCTAGAATTTCAATTTCTCTGAGCCATCCACTACTAAATAGCTACAATCTCAATTCTATTAGACTTGATTTTTCCAATTA